TAGGAGGGGTTTAACAAGGGTAGGCTAGGCTTTTTTATGTTATAGGTGGGTAGGAGAGTTGGTCGGGGATCGATCGAAGAAGCTTAGGTTTCGGGAAGGCTCATAGTGGTAGAAGTATATAGCTAGTTTTCAAAAAGAGGATTTTGAGAAGAAAGTTGTTCAAAGCAAGACTTCAAAAGAAAGGTTTTCTAATTTCTAAAAGGAAACGTTTCAAAAGAAAACGGATTTCGAAAAAAGGCGGCTCTCGAAACATGAGTAGAACAAGAAGTTCCAAATAAGAATGAACATGATAAAAAAAAATTAAATACGAATAAAACAATAAGAAAGAGATTTTAAAATGGTGTTTAAACATAATAAACCACCGTTTAGACGAACAACGTCAGCAACTTTGCTCTTGCTCAGTTGCTCTTGGAACGCGGTGTAATCGGGTAGACGCACAAGGAGTGAAGGGTGAATGGACCTGTGGTCTAGTGGTAGGGCTGTCCAGTGGGACGCTACCTACCAGGGTTCAACCCCTGATGATCACACCTTTTTCTGGAAATTTTCCAGAATATTCAGGGTACACACGCGTGCTCGTTCGGTGGTAGTACGCTTTTCCTGCGCACCGGAGGTGATGCCTCCCAATCTCTTCTTTGCGTGTGGTGTGAGTGTGGAATGTGTAAGTTGTGTGCGTTCTAGTTATACCCGATCAAAATAGCACGAGCGGTGAAGGGAATATTTTATTTCAACCTCCTCGCAACTGCTCAGACATGTCTTCGAAAATTGTCACATCCCACACCGTGCTCACCAGCCTCACATGGTCTAGAGTGAAGTCAACTCCCTCTCATAGTCTTCGATTCAGATCCCATCAGGCTGGATTATATATATATAATAATCTTAAAACCGCAGCAGCTCCCGCTTCATCCTGCCAGGAACCAAAGCCCGTACACCTGGTTCTTAGATCTCTATCTCCCCAGCTTGGATCCCTCAAGTTCTCTGCTCTAGCTAGGTCAGTGCTTCTGACAAGCTGCTTACTTTCGTTTGGTTTCACAACATTCCAGTTTGTGCAAAAATCTGTGTTGTGTTATGCTCGTCTATATATATGTACTATGTTCATGAACAATTGCCATATTTTTGCTGGAGTTGAAGTTGCAATAAATCTTGTTTAACTAGCTCTGATCTGCAGCTGCGTCAAACCGTCAGGAATAGCCAGCAAGTGGAGTCTTCTGAACACCTTGCCGACTAACCCACCAGCACAGTTTCTGAAAGAAATCACTGTGGGAAGGGTTCTCTGATGCTCGAAAGCTTGGTGAAGGTGCATTTGGAACTGTTTATGAGGTACCATGCATACCACTATGCTCAACAATAATGTTATCCAGTTTTAGAATATTGTCCAATAAGCGCACACCGATCACAGTGTCTAATAAGAGGTCAAAGTAACAGGGCATTCTGCAAGATGGGGAGAAGATTGCTGTGAAAAAGCTTTAAGATAATGCGCCGGTGGCACCTGAGAAGCAGTTCACGATTGGGGTTGGGAATCTTATGGCCATGCAGCATCAGAATATAGTGAGGTTACTCGGCTACTGCCACGAACCGCAGAAGAAAGTGATCGAGCACAGTGGAAGATACATCATTGTAGACGTGGTTGAGAGCATGCTCTACTATGAATATGTGCCTAACGGAAACCTTGGCAAGTATATTTTCGGTATGCAATAAGAACGCGCGCGCTATGCCGCTATCCAACATGCATATATTTGTTTTGTCATTAATTTTCTGAGATGTATGTAAATACATGACCCATGTTTTCATTCTTCAGATGCATCTTTTAGACCTGATTGGAAGACATGCTTCGAGATAATCAAGGGCATCTGCCAGGGCTTACGTTACCTGCATAAGGAAATGGATAGGCCAATTGTTCATTTGGATCTTCAGCCTAGCAACATATTGTTGGATGAAAACATGGTACCGAAAATCACGGATTTCGGCCTGTCAAGACTCTTCGGTGAAGAGCAAACCCGAATAAACACAATAAATGTTGTGAGAAAAAAGTAAGCCCAATAAATTCCATTATTTTTTATTCTAAATAATAAATCAAATCAAATTGCATTGTCCTATGATCCTTATTGTTTCGTTTGACATTCACGCTTCCCAGAGGGTATATGGCTCCAGAATATCAACCCGGTCCGATATATATAGCTTAGGTGTGGTAATCATGGAGATCACAACAGGTGAGAAGAATTTTTCAGGCAAACAAGACATGTCAGCGAGGGACTTTGTAGATAAGGCAAGACCAAGACTGGAAAACATTTTTTTTACTTGCTTAATGTTGTCACTTAAGCTCACACCTCTTAACTCTGTAGGGGCGTGAAACGTGGACAGATGAGCACATTGCATCCAAGCACTCAGCACTACTAGATGCAGGCAGCCTCCAGGAAGTAAGAACATGCATCGAAATCGGGCTAAAATGCGTGGATGTTGATAAGAACAAGAGACCTTCTATAGTTGAAATTGTTGACAAGCTCAACGGAAGGCATGCTCCCTGAATGATGAACTCCTGCATACTATATATGCAAGTGAAAACTATGTTGCAGACCCATGGCGATTTGCTCTATATGGTATCATGGACAAAATAATTGTGTCAGTTACCAATTGTGTACTTTTGAGTAATGTGTTCCTCATGTCGTGTCACTTTTTAGGAGCTCCTTAATTTGTGTTACTGTATTTTTCTTGTGTCACAAATGTGCATGCATGACCTGTTAAAAAAGTTGTTTGTGCATAATTTTTATTTGGTTTTTCTCATGTTATGTGAACAACATTTTTTTGACCAAACAAGATGGGAGGGCCCAACTGAATTTTATAAACTTCCAAAGAAAGAAAACATGTACAGAGTACACAAGTTCAACAGCTAATTTGCAACACCTAGTTCAACAGTCATGACTCAAACAAATTTCCACCACAAACTTACACACAACTATTGGAAATATACAAATTTGGAAGATAAAATGTCGCAAACATGTCAATTCACTACCGGCGATAAGGGAATTAGAAAGATTTAGAGGGGCCAAAACAGCGCCACAATTCGGCCATGTTAAAGACTGATTTAGGTTTAGGTCCAAAAGCAAAGTTTGTTGTACTCAACTCAAACTACAATTTCTATTAAAGGTCAAACTTCATATCTAGAAAAGAAACTATAGTTTTACCCTGGTCAAAACAACATCATGAAAAAATGAGTTAACTATTGATCCAACACTTAGAAGCATTTTTAGGCTAGTTCATGAACATAAACCCTAGATCATTTTTTATTTTAAGTATTTCTAGACTGTTTTAAGTAATCAAACAACAAGTCACTGTAAAAAATCTAGAGTTAGCCACATTTCTCAATATCCAAGTCATGGTAAAAATTAAAATCTATCAATTTCCATAGCTCGGTGCCGTAGTAATTGGCACCGAGCTCGGCGCCAAGATCTACGGCGCTGAGCTCGGCGCCAAGATCCACGGCGCCAAGCTCATGCCACGTCTGCGCCACGCATGCAGCCACGTCAACGACACGAAGAAAATGACCCTGGACCTCGGCGCCAAAGCAATTAGCACCGAGACATGTAAGCTCGGCGTCAATTGTTACGGCGCCGAGGTCAGGGTCTATTTTTTGAAAGGATACTGCCAGGGGCGTATTTGTGAAAATCTTTAAAAAAAGGACTGAAAAACAAAAAATTCGGTAGATAGGCATATATATTCGGTAGATATTGCAAGTGATTCTATACTCTATGCATCCTCTCAAGTGCATATATTGATCACATCCAAGATATATAATAGGATTTAGTGTTCATCTTTGTGAGGGTTAGGCATTTTTAGAGCTTTAAAGCTTGAGTGATGAGTGATTGGATATATGTGCTCTTGTAATCTTAGTGAGCCAGAGCACTTGAGTACTGTAAAAAATTGCACAATTTTGTGTATGCGTGAATTTGATGTACGTTTGGTACTGTAAAAAAAATTATCATTGTCCACAATATACTGCCATAAATAATCTGTGCAAAAAAATTGTACTGCCAAAAAATATTCATGCTCCAAAAAAGTTATACTGTCAAAAAATATTCAATGTAAGAAAATGCTACTATCAAAAAGAAAAAATCTGTGCAATGAAATATCACTATTAACATGTTGATGGTGCTACACATGATACATGGGTAAAATAGTATTTTTTTCCCGTTGACGGCATTAGTGGCCACATCTAACCATAGTGCTATATAGGGAATAAAAAACGAACCCAAGTAATATTGAGGAAGTTTTATCTTTTGGTGCTAAATAAGTAACCATGTTATATTCCGAGGCTAAATAGTGAATTTTCTCAAAGATATTAATATTTATACAACACCAAATTATATTTGAAATAGCTTGACTGAGGACAATCCTAAAACGTCACCACGTCGCATTTTATCGGATCGATGTAAAGTACTTCTTCTCCAGCTTTTTCTAAGCGCGTGACCACGTGAGAACCACATTGGACAGGGCATTTAGCTTGGTCAAGTCAACTTGTCTTTGTTAACGCGGTTGGTCCGCCTGCTCTCTGCTTCTTTATATATATATATATATATATATATATATATATATATATATATATATATATATATATATATATATATATATATATATAATTCTTTGCAGCAATAATGGAGGCATCCTGTTCCTCATCCGCCTGTAAGCTGTGCGCTCCTTCTCCAGGATCCTTCCTGCACGCTGAAGCTAGGACTAGGATCCTCAAGTGTTCTCCTCCAGGTCAGTGCTTCTAACAAGATGCTTATTCCTGAAGTTTTCACTTGCAGCAGCCATGCCTGTGCCTATTCAGTGTTACCCCTGCTGAGTTAAGCTGTGTATGACCTTCGAATGTCTTAGAAACGATCTTGTTCTTGCTTTTATGTTTGTGGTTAAGCAGACTTTCTTGCTTGTTTGGATACAGTAGAAGAAGCCTCGATTTGTAGCAGTTCAGATCTAGTAGCTCCTTGCCTCCTTCAAGGTCATCAGAAATGGCGAACCTGCAGAGCCAGCCGAGTCTTGCGAGTACATTACCAACTAACCTACCGGTGACCTTTATGAAGGAAATTACCAAGGATTTCTCTGTTGACCGAGTACTTGGTCAATCTGTTTTTGGAACAGTTTATCAGGTGCGTGTGGACACTAACATTTACACATCGGATTCTTACATACAAAACCGTTTCACTGACAGAGGTTAAAGTTAAACAGGGTGTTCTTCCAGAAGGAGGCCGCATGATTGCTGTGAAGAGGCTTGCTGAAAACGCACCAGTGCCGGCTGGCATAACATTTGGAACTGAGGTTACAAATCTTATGGCACTTAAACACGAAAATATTGTAGAGCTGGTTCACTACTGCCATGAGTCGCAGAAGAAAGTCGTTCAGCATAATGGAAGATATGTGATTGTGGACGTCATCGAAAGCTGTCTTTGCTACAAATATCTACCAAAGTTGAGTCTTGACAAATATGTTTATGGTATGCAATGCACTATCCAACACACATCTCCTCTATCTACTATTCATACATACTTGAAAGATAAAAACAAGTGGCAAAAGAGTTATTATGATTCTTGTTTCCGATATTTGTTTTGTTGCCACCAATGTAAGCAATTTAGACTTTTGGACAATACTATTTTGGGATACTTATAACTCACTATTAGTACTTTCTTTATTTCTTACTTATCTAGGAGATGCTACATCAATAAACTGGAACACACGGTTCAAGATAGTTAAGGGGATCTGCCAGGGTTTACATTTCCTTCATAAGGAATTAGTTGGTGGGCCTCTTATCCATATGAATCTTGTGCCTAACTCGATATGGTTGGATGATAATTGGGTGCCAAAGATTGCCGATTTTGGGCTCTCGAGACTCTTTGGCAAAGAGCAGACCCGGATGTATACAGTCAATGTTAAGGGACATAAGTAAGCAGAAACAACTGTGAAATATATGATTATATATTCATTCTATTTACTACAAGTAAACGCCATTCGATTCTTTGATAAACTATTGCAGTGGGTACATAGCTCCGGAATATCTATACAGAGGTGAAATCTCCACCATGTCTGACATATACAGTTTGGGCATGATTATTCTTGAGATTACGACCAGAGAGAGGAACTCTTCAGCTTCTGAAGACAAATCTGCAAGACAGTTTGTTGACAATGTAAGATAGCACTACTACTTGATGACTTGAATTTTGAAACTTCTGTTTTTGGAATCTTTCCCTGCATTCAGCTAATACATTATCACTAAGGAATAAATCCAACTCTGTAGATACATCAAAATTGGAAGACAGATGAGCAAATAATGTACAAGCACCCATTACTGGATCCAAATGGCCTTCAGCAAGTAAAAGCATGCATTATAATTGGACTAAAGTGTGTGGAGGCTGATCGGAACAAGAGGCCTTCCATAGCGGATATTGTTGATAAACTCAATGGGAAACGTGTACCAATTTTTGACCAGGTGTGAACAATTGAGACATCATTACAGTTTCATTGTGTCGTGTTATGTAAAAAGAAAAAATAATTTCATGGATTATTACACTCTGAACATCATCAAATAAGGTGACTCAATGTCTGGATTTAGTTTCATTTTCTTCACCTGCAATGACACTCCTTTACAGTCCGAACTAGCTAGATTCTACAAAACCAAAAGACCAAACAAACTATCAATGTGTGTACCATAATTAATTGATTGCCATTGATTTTTACATACAATTTTAACTTATTAAATAGCCTAATATCGGTAGAACCTTAGAGTTTATGCTATCTCTGTTGTGCTAATTAACATGCTATACAAAATTTCAGGTCTCCCTTCCCAGCATGCATGAGACCTTGTCTTTCCAAGGATAAGTTGATGTCCAAGATGAAGTGAAACCCGCTCTATGATATGTTGATGACATGGATTTTCTTCAGAACTAAGATCCTGTTTTTAAATTTTCTCTGCCTGGCAACAATGTGACACTGTATTATTAATATTGCAGTAGTTTGTCTCTATTGACCTCATTTTAATGTAGAATTTCCACCAGTCCCTGCCTGGCAACAACGTGATACTGTATTATTAATATTGCAGTAGTTTTGTCATTCCAAGAATAAATCTCTGTTACTTGGCTATACGAGAGGTTTTGCCATTTTTTATGACAACATATCATAAACTTTCCACCAGTCCACCGGACCAGCCATTTGTCACCGAGGTAACAAATACCCAAGGTTTTAAATCCCTGGCTAAGCCATTTAGCTGTTGTCCTTCTCAACAGCTAAGTGCAGCTATAGCCAGAGATAGCTGCAGCTAAGATATTATTTAGCTGTTTTTGTAAAAATCAAAGAAAAAGGGATGGGTGGGAGACCGGATATGGGATGTAGGCTAGGGTTGGGTTGGGATGTATTAGGTGGGCCGCTGCCTGATTTTTTTGGCCCAATAAGATTTTAGCTGCCGCTAAAATTGACCCATGTAGCGGCTATCTCCAGCTATTAGCGTTTGCTATTTCTTAGCGCGAAAAGCTAAGTATCCTAGCTTTATCTGCAAAAACCTCGTATGGGCCTGGTAGCGGATTAATGTTTGATACTTTAATTTGCAGATCATGGGTTCCACTATAGGCACTAAGTCCTAATAGCAGGATTTATAAAATAATCAAAATCAAGAAGAATATATCAATATCAATACCCAACATCATGTTCACTTACAAATATTGTAAGTTTTTGTTAGTTATTTTGTTTAGCAGTAGTGTAAGAAGATTCATGGTGACAAATTAACACTACGGTCTTATATCATTGAAGAAGGACATCATTCTTCATCATGACATAAATCACCATCCTCAACACTCTTATTCTCATTTGAACCATCCTATTGTTACTCAGCATCAACATAAGACATACTCACATAGCGTGAAGCCTAACACGAGTAACCGAGGGAAACAACCCACAATAGTGGGCCTCCGCGTGATCACCTTCCTTGGGACACCAAGCACGTTAGAGAGCTTCGACACGATGATGTCCTTATTCTTGTGGAGTAAAGCAAAGAGCATGCTTTCCTATTTTTCGTCAATCGTTGTCCCAACCAGGGCTGTAATGGTGGAGTCTTCTAGGTCAACACCCACATTCTTCGTTTCCTCTATTGGCTTGAATATGGTTGCCCCACTATCTCCTTGGATGGGGTTCATCCATCACTGGATGAGAGGCAATTTCCAACCAAAGCTCGTCTAGCTCGACAACAGCCATTCAAACCATGGCAAGCTTACAGCTCTCCATATCACAATCGAAGGCCTACTGGAGATTCTCACAAACCATGATGATGACCCCTTAGGGGCCCAACATCTCTTTATCTTTAGGTAGGTATAGTTCGAGATGGTCATGAATCAATAGTACGTAAATTGGTTTTTCCTATGGTATTTTCACAATTAGTTCTATTAAAACCAGCAGTGATGATATATCACCGCCAATTAAATGGCTTTGAACCGGCGGTGAAAATTGGGCTGGTTTATAACAACGCTTCAAGCGATAAACTAGCACCAAAAATCGACCTTAGTATGTAACTAGAAACCCTACCTACCCATCCACTCTCTCCCACACTCGGGCGCGACCCCTTTCTCTCCCTCACCCGCCTGTTCCACACCTGGCCCTACCCTTCCTGGCGAGGATGGTGTAGCAGTTGTAGGGTCTCGACCCGCCTAGCGTGGCGGCAATCGCCCCCACCTCCCCTCTCTCGTTTGTGGACAGGTCTAGCATGGATTGGGCCAATGGTGGTGCTCCACAATCCTAGCAAGGACGGCGCGACAACAATGTAAGCTCACCCCCTCTCCTGGTGCAACGACAACAACCTCGCCACCTCCCTTTCTCGCTCACTATCTAACTGGTATGGACAAGTGCTACTGCCGTTCCTCGACCATCCCTCTCCCAAAGGTGGGCGGAGGCCCTCTCCAATCTCTTCTTGTGAGGATGGCACAATAGGACCGGGGCTATCCCCCTCTCCACAGCACAATGTCGATGGCCCGCCACCATCCTCTCTCATTCGCAATCAGATTTGGCATGGATAGGTGCTAGCGGCCCCGCCCAATCTCTTCTTCTCGCACGACAAAGACCCCGTCATCCCTCTCTTGAGCAGCCCTCCTTCTCTTGGTGTGGCAAAGCAGGCCCCTCTCTTGAGAGCAAGGACAACATTGACGACATATCATGGCGACGATGACAACACTAGTGCAAAGTAGGCACATATTTTTTTTTCAAATATTTTATTCACCTTCGCTTTGTGGTAAACCGGGTGGTGGTGAACACCATTTCATCGCCAACTTTCACCATCGCCGAGTAGAACCGGCGATGATAAATCTATTGTAGTAGTTGAACTTGGCATAGTAGGGTCATCGGAATATGGCGTACTACGCCCCCTCAAAGTCAACAACCTCAAAGAGATGAGCATCTCACTCCATAATTTATCTAGTGTACGAAAAGTGGCGGGCACAGTTAGCTACCTGAGTACAAAGGTTGACTCCCTGGGGATGACCTCGTGGAAATGCGCACCAATGTGAGATCTTCATATTGTCTAATGTTTTGGTATAGACATTATGGAGCCTGCTCCCCATGTCCACGAGCACCTTAGAGCTTCTCTTTCTTAAACCCACTCTTTAATCCTCATTTGAAGAGTCATTCTAGTAAAAACCGCTCTCTATATTTGGAGATCTAGTTTAAGAGCTGTGGAGGTACACCAAAAATCTCTATTCCTATCAATACTGAAGGATATAAAAAGACTCTTGGAGATGCTCTTAGTCAAAGGCATGTATTACGAATGATGGGGTTCACTACAGTGTACCTCCCCATGGTGAGGTATGTCCATGGCAAGTGTCCATTATCTTTAATCCATAAACAATTGAATTTGATTTGAATTCTTTAAAATTTAGTGCCACACCCAGTTTAACGACAAAACCCAATACATTTTACATATATATTATGATCAGTTTATTCATACATATGGTGATGATATCAGTGATACATTGTGATACTTATTATAAATGATATGAGGTCTTCCATCTTCCATAGGTAGTTGACCAAGGTACACGCCAATGTAGCCTCGACACCAAAATTCCATCTTCTAGTCCAAACAACTAGGTGTAGTAGTAAAGGGGAAAAATAAGAAGGGTGAGTACATCGACACGTACTCCATAAGTGTAGAAAAGTAGGGGTGAAAGTGGCATGGATAATTCTCTGTTCTGATCTAATCCAAATCTGAATTTGAGGTTATGGAAAAGAACATTTGATATCTGCACATGCAGATATGGATAGTAAAAATCCAACTAGATGTGAGGTAGGATATGGAATCAAGAAAAATCTAATGGATATGGATTATCTGCAAATTCTATACAGATTATCTAATGTTTAGAATGTGATATCCGATAATTTCTCTTCCTATACTAAAACCTAGAGGAATTCAGGATTTTTTAAAAAAAAAAGCTTGTTAGTTGAGAACTCATATATTTTGTGATGTGGTTGTTTGATGTTCTAAATTTTGAATTGATATCTTGTCAATCATTATTACATATTTGCTAATAACTTATCATTCGTGAGTGAGGATACCTTATTCGGGGCCTATTTGGGATATAGGAATATAATTTTGCAGGATTTCCACATGAATTTTATAGGAATCAGTTCGAAAAAAGCTCAAACAAGTGATTGAGAGTAATTTTAGGATGATTGTTAGCCTCAAACTCTATGTAAGCCGTTGGGCACTCTATGATTTGGTTAAACAATGAATTAGTCTATTTCATATTCCTTCTCTCCAACAAAATAGGGAGCAGAGGGGAAAACCTCGCCCCATCTGCATGCCGATGGCTACGACTGCAGGCAAAAAAGGCGAGAATTCTTTGCCACCATTGCCATTACCCTAAATGGTGACGTAACACCTTGGTATCCAACCGATCATCTTCCCCGCTGCCTCCGATCCCGTCCAGTGCAACCACCGGCCATCCTCTGCTTCATTAAGTCATCACCACCACTATCACCATGCCCGGTTCCAATGATGATGATGGGGCATGGATTCCGGCAAAGGATGGGGGCTTCCAACCTAGCGCTTATTATCAGATCTGACGTAGTGGTACTTATCATCCTTGATGTCTTGAGCTTTTTCCTTGTCTTCAAGGGTCTTTATGACTGCTCTTTGATATTAATTTGAGGTGTTAATTCCTTGATCTTGACCCTAGCATAGCTCATGTCATCTTTGCATCTTTAGGACTAGTGTAAGTTGTAGACTATCAAACATAGTTATTAGTTTTATAGGATATATTGTCATTCAACTACCAAAATCACTAAGGTCTTGCCACGCTCATGTTTCTTAGAGATTTGACATACTTCAAGGCATAATCGGATCAGGTAAGTTTTGTATTATTTAAAAGATGGAAGATCAATAATGGTACTCTACAGCGCATGCACTATCTTTCCATATCTTAAACTCACTTAGCTTTTCTATATGGTGTGTGTACTTTGTTGACACCAAAATTTGGTTCGAAGTGAAAGGGCCCCGAGGTCAAAATCTGTCAAGGGAAAGCCGAAATAATCAACAAGATCGGCTAACCAGATTGCTAGATCAGCTAGCAAGATGACATCATTAAGGGAATGAGCCCTATCGACAGAGACAGCAAGGCATGAAGCAAGAAGACGCGTCGGGCTCCATAGAAAGAAAAGATTGGATTCCAAGTGTCGGGGTCATAACCCCGGGACGTCTCAAGGCACCGATTAGTTAGCGAGCCTTGCGTGCCGCAACGCAACAATCAACAAGGGCCCAAACAACCGAGGCCCAGCGAAAGCCGAGCAGAGCAGGCCAGTGATAAGGCCAGGGGTGCTTACGACCCTTTCCTCTAGCACAGGTCACGTGACGCTCAGATGCGCGACCTCTCCCCGTCCACGACCCCTAAAAGGGACGGGGAGAGGTCAGGCCTTGCCTGACGAACCTGCTCTCACAGGGGTGAGCACGCCACACCGATCCCTCAAGGACCGATGTGACGACAGTCACCTCGACCCGGTCAGCGCCATCCTCGCGCTGCATCAAGCCTAACGAGACAACACCACACAATGGTGGCAACAGGTACGAAACCCACCGTTTGAATACGGACCGATAAGACGCGTGTACGATCTCGCACACTACGGGATGGGATCCATGACAAGGGTCTCAACTTGGAGACTTCTTCAGAATTTGCTGGAGAGCCTCGACCCCAACGATGGGGGTCATGGCCCTCAGCCTCATGAAGCGACCAGGCAAACAACAACCTAGGGCGGCTACCTACTACGGGTACGATGCCCCGGGGAACCTGGAGACAACGGCGAAGACCGTGAAGGATGCCGCATTGCATAGGATAGCTAACGAACTATCACCATGGCTACAGTGTTGCCACGGCCAGCATAGTAACACCACGTTAGACCCTGCCGCAACGTGGCCATAACACCATGATGACGGCCACGCCTGGACAGACACCAGAAGATGGCGTAGCTTGCAAGCCAAGTTAGCTAGGACCTCCCTCAGACTCTCAACCTTGGCTCAGGGTAACCTTCTCTTTATAACGAGCCTCAGCCCCGAACTCTATATAAGGGCAGCCAGGGCTCCCATCTCAAAACATCTTCACATTCTTCATCCTCTACCATTCCATCCATAGCAGTAGGGCTCCCGGAGCTTCTCTTCGGGCTGCCCCTCATCTAGCATAGGTTCTACCACCTCTTTTCACCATTCTTGCACCCCTTGTAAGAACTGCAGAGCATTCAAGAGAGGAACACACTCGATCTTCTCTGAGACTGGATGTAACTAAACTACAAACAAATGTTAGGCCCATTCTTGCCACCAAGCGTCAAACAAAGTGGAAGAAAAGGGGCCACACTTCCATCCTTCGGCATTGATGGAAGGCAGAGCATCCTCAAACTGTCGAATTCTCTGGAATTCCCATGGTTGACCGATGGCTTCTCTTGGCCTTAGTTTGTCTCAAAAGAAGAGCCCAGAGGCAACTATCTAAAGCCAAGTTGGCGAGCAAAGAATGGAAGGATTGTAGAATTCGTAGGGATCGTCGGCGGTTTCTCCCACCGTGTCTAAATTCCACCGGCAAACCCTAGTTTGACTATACACTAGAAAATTGCAGCTTGATGGCTCGTCCGACAGAGCAGCGCTTTTGAATTTGAAAGAGATCGGGAGTTCGAATTCGACAATCTCTGGATAGACGAACCAAGTTAGAGCCTCATCCGAAATCCCCTTGTAAAAACCTCTAAAGAACTGACCGGTGCTCCAATTGATTGAGAAAGCCGATGCAGCCTCGCCAAAAGACAGACATCGACGAAACTTATCTTCTTCATCCAGAGCCTCTTCTTGAGCTTCCGAGTAACTCAGAGAGGGGAAACTTAAAGTTCGAAGGTCATTCATTGCGACCTTCTGCATATGTAGGTTCATCCACAACTGCAAAAGCCACCATAGTCCGCTAATTGTACCAATGGGCTCATTCATCATCAGTTTTGAAGACACTTGGTGCATCGTAGTAGTACAAGGATCCAAATGACACTTGCCTAAGGGGATATCAAAGCACCATGGGACAGTCGTTCTGCCAAATATAAGGGGCTTGTCAACCATGTGCCCATGTCGAACCTAGTCTCACCATGGCACCTAGCCTAGACTTGAAGCCACCTTGCACCTACCATGTTCCCTATCCTCCCATCAAACCCCTAAAGTGGCCAAAGCTTCGGTCAAGCCATAAGTCCACATCCATGTATGAGTGAATTTGGTTCTTCTTCGTTCTTTTGGCTCTTTGTGATAATCTGTAGCTTATAGGATTATCGGTTGGACGTGCGTCAGCTCTGGAGGAGGACCCGTGGAGTGGAGCTGACCCTGGAGGTGGAGGTCCGCGCCAATCGACTACGTCGACTGACGGAGACTTGTACCACTACTACCTTGACATCACAGGTGTCATGGCAGCACCTTTTACTTAGAGAATCCTATTAGGCATTGCAAAGTAGATCTGCTAGCACTTTACATTTATTCCTTGCTAGAGTATGTGATGCATGATATTGCCTGAGCCTTGCTTGTCTTGATTGAAACCATTTAACCCTGATTACCCAGCTCCGCGCTCGCACTTATATATGCCTGTCTGCTTGCTTGCATTTTACTCCATCATAATTACATATATTCCTTGTTATGTGATGTGTGATGGATGTTTGGATGATGTGGATGGTGGATGGGGTTTCACCGCGAGGCACCCCCATGTGGTGTGGTTTGATACGTGACGGGAGCAGTGAATCCCGAGTGGGTGGTGGTGATGTGAGGAGTTCTGGAGGTCTTCCTTGCCCTTGACCTGATTCTTGGAGATACTGGCCAGACTGAGAGGATTGTCGCGGTGTACAAAGTGCACCTAGTGTGGTTCCTGTGGCGGGACCACGGGTCCTGAAGGGACGACGGTCCTCGAGGGACATTGGGATGATGAGTTTGGGGATGGATAGATCACCTCTATGGGGTGAATCTAGTGCTCTGAGGGCACACGGATTGGTGAAAGGTGCTCGCTCTGGCTAAATTAAGGACTAAGTAGGTTGCAGCCATAAATCACAGGTTATTTCTATGCTCACCACATGCTTACATGGGTGCGGCCCGTTGCCCAAACTAGTGCAGGCGACCATTAGTCTCTATGGGAGATAGTAGGCACGCGGTCCGTGGCCCTGTGCAATTAGTGTCAGGAGGACGGAGGTTACTTCGTGCTACCACAACGACACGATCCCAGCTTATATAGTGGCGTCTATATATCTTCGCTCCGGATGGTGGGCAGGACTGGTGTTAGTCGGCCTAGTTTGCGGTGGCGGTGTTCATCGTTTGACGGTGATACGTCGACGGTGTTCATGTGGGGGAAAATCTATACGTATAGCCGCGGTCTCGGATATGACCACTTACCTGTGTGCACGGTTCAGCTCACTAACTTCTCTTGTGCTTTGCTTTTCTCCCCCTGAAGCTAAGGTACGGCTTGAGGCCGATTAGACGAGGGGCGTGAAGAGGTTGCTTCGATGACTAGACTGAGAGATTGAGGATGTTGTGAGGGATGATGAGTGATGACTTGTGATGATGATGAGTGGATGGTGAGAATGAGATTGTGGTTTGGGATTAGAGAAGTTTATACGTTACTTTTGATGCTTTCTGCATACGCTAAGGATGCAAACCATAACAAAACTATTAGGACCGCTAGATCCTTTTATTTTCTATTTTCTACTAAAGCTCATCGGTGCTGACCGTGGCCTGCACACATCTGGCGGTGTGCAGATTTCTTGACTTGTAGTGATGTTGAGATTAGTAGTTGATTTCGTTCTACACTCAAGAATATCTCTGGATGGGAGATCGTCAAGCTTCGCTTCCACGAAAGAATACCAGTGTTCTGCTGGTTGCTAGCTGTATCTAAATTATTGTAATATATTATTTGTGCACTCGGATGTCGTATGAGTCTGTAATCATCTGTAATATGGACGTCCACGATAGATGAAGTATCTAGAACTATCACGTAGGGGCAAAAAAAAAAATCAGAATTTCTCTTGGAAAATCCCGATCTGCTACAGCCTTCCTTCCAGTTCTCTGGCCCTGGGCGCCGGTTAGAGCGGTACCAACCTCCTTGCTGATCTTAGAACCGCCCCCCTTGGCCCTGGTTCCAATTACCCTGCTGAACTGGACCTCGGCTGGCTTCTAGGCGGTCACCAACAGCTTCCTTGCCCGGATTAACCCGCCCCTGGTCACCCTGCATCATCCCGTGATTACTCGCTGCAGCTGTCGCGAAGATCCTGTTCTTCATCGAGGAGGTCATCCTCTTCCATCCAGTCCTCATGCCACCCTTCCTGCCTATGTTTCAGAGGCCGATTTGGCCCCGAGTCGCCATGCCTTCGCAGCAGCAGCGAGCAAAGCTAATGGGTGAGCGGAGTTGGGGGAGGAAGACGGCGGATGTGTCTGGTTAAGTGTCCAAAGCGTCTTATCTCTCCAGATTGGGCTGCATAATAGGTCTCCATCAGCAGAGCCCCTTTGGGGATCCAAAACCAGCCCGGCCCAGGTCCAATCCCGCCAGGTGTCTAGGAGTAGTCAAACCGGACATCAGTGGTCAGGTGGTGTTCCTCCTCCCGCCCACCTGGGTTCAATTGAACCTGCTGAGCAACCGCACTACCCATTGGACCTGCATCATCCTCCCCATAGAAGCTTCCAGACGAGTACATGCTGCATCCAGATCCGACATCGAAGAATCCCCCTCAGAGGTAAACAAATGCAGGCGAATCTCCTCTGCCAAGTTGATCTGCTCCCGTAGTTTTCCCCCTTTCGTTATTGTCCTATAACTGGATCCCCCATGACTATCAGAGCTCGGGATTGGCGGAGCCATCGTCAACCGACGATTAGCACCCTTCTTCGCCGGGATTGATCCAGGGAGGGGCCACTCCCCGTCAATCAGCGAAGCCTCTGAAGTACCCATGACCGGAATCGAGGGTTCCCCTGCCCCTCCATGGTGGCCTGCAGCCTGTTCGGTTGGCTTGTACTTAACGATCGTAAATTTCTAGCCGGAACAGTATTTTTCTCTCACACCAAACCAGCCAGCAGTACTTCTTCACGAACCAGCAACGAACAAGCACAACCAAACGAACAGGCTGCTGGTTCCCCTACCTTCCCAACCAACCCAAGATGTCCCCCAGAGAACGGAATCGGAGAAACCTCACCTGTCGTGGCGGCAGAGACCCTCGAAGCAGACAACCTCGTCGTCGTCGGCGAATCCACCGCTTTGGCGGAGGGGTTCGAACCTGCGTTGCTCGAAGGCGTCCACGGCTTGACATTCGCAGCGCGCCAAAGGTCACGGGCCGCGATGGCCGACTCCACCGACCCCCTCGTCGTAGATGGAGAGACCGCCGACGAGCCCACTCCCCTTCCGGTCGCCGGGGAGACCCCGGTCGCCTCTCTCTCCCCTGTCCCCTTGACTTGGGCCATAACTGAGCTGTGTTTTCGCGGAAGTCCCTGCTGATCTCCTTATATGATCCATCTAATAACAATTATGTATATAATTGAGATGCAGAAGCATACCATGAATAACAGAGTAAACATTTCGAATTAATATCAGCATATATAGGGTGTTTGTACACATCAGACAACACAGTGTTTGGATTAAATCCAACTGACCGTGCTATAAATGAACTTCACGGTGAGTGCCATGTATAAAATCTTCACATATTGATAGTACCGTCTAATATATATATTTGAAAGATGTACCGTTGACAACATGTCCTATCTACAAAATTGTAGATATCCAACAGATGATCATGAAAGGAACCATGTTGTATGTCAGTTTCATCACAGTACTCATGAAGACTTGATGTTTATATTTGTTCAGATAAAAATTTTAATAACATTACATTCTATTTGTTCATGCTTCGTGAAAAATCATATAATATTATCGAGTGACTATAAATGGAATGTTGCTAACATCACACTCAAACTACTGTTTTTTTTATAATAATACAATACATGTTCAAATTGCAACACACGAATATGATCCTATAGTTTATGAAACAAAAACAGAACATGCAAAGGTAAAACACGCGGATGCTTCTAACATCGCAGTTTGATCGCGTGCATCCCCATGACCCCCGCTGGACCCGTTCACGTCTGATAATGATATGGCCACGCCCCTGCAGTGCGCATGGCGTCCACAGGTCGGAGCTCATGCGCGATTGACGCAACACCAGGAAAAGATATAATAATAACTAGCTACATGCGTACAAGAAGTGCTACATAAGTACAAGAAGTAAGAAGTGTCAAGAATTTACTGGGTGTTCCGCTGATCCAGGGAGTGTTCAGCTGGTGATATTCGGCTGGCTGGTTCGCTTTTTTTTTTTCAGCCGGGCAGTGTTTTTTCTCTCACAAAATCTCAGCACAAACAGTAATTTCCAGCATGAACAGTGCCAGAATAATACCAGCCGAACAGTGTCCAAATAATACCGTCTGTGGCTTATTTCGGCTGATTCAATAGTGTTCTGCGAGAGAGAATAAGCTGAAAACTTGAGACTAGACAAGCACAACAACAGGTGCCAACCAGCGATAGCGACGGTGAAGGCCACTGGGTTAAAAGCGCTGTGATGATAGCGATATCGACGATAACGATATCGACGCAGGGACCAATACGGTGCATGATACGGGGCTCGTGGAGGAAGCGGAACTCCAACTTGCCATAGCCGATGCGTGGATGCACCAGAGTGTCCTCTGCGAGGGCGCAACGCGTGTGGAGGTCCAAGGATTGGCCCCCACCGCCGCAATCGCACCTGTACCTGGGCCCGTAACCGGGCTCCTTGCAGCCGTTGCACATGAACGGCGCACCGTCGTCCATCAGCTTCAGCTTGTGCTCCGGGTGGGCAGGATGGCAGATCTCCGACGGAGGATCATTGTGCATATTATTGCTAGATTTCTGCTGCTTAGTCCTCAAGAGCCCCTGAATAGAATTAGTTAGTTTCATCAAACTTATATAAGGTTTACATTAATTAATGCTTTCAGCTGTCTGAATATAATGTTAGGCACAGTAAGCAGCGAACGCAACTTGTGCAGGCGTATCCTGCACACCATATAACCATAAATAAAGGCTAATACAATCCTAGTATATGTACTGTATCGTAATGCTATATCCAAAACTATACAGTCAATATACTATAACATTGAATATATGTATATAAAAAACACCTCTAATCTACTGTATGGTATTGTTTTTTCTGAGCCACTTATACAATTACTCCATCCATTCCAAATTGTAAGTCATTCAACTTTCTTGGAGAGTCAAAGCATCTTAAGTTTAATCAAAATTATAGAGAGAATTACAAATATTTACGACATCAAATAGGTAAACTATGAAAATATAATTAATGAAGAAGAATCTAGTAATACTTATTTGGTATCATAAATGTTATTATTTTATTATATGAATTTGTTCAAACATGAGACGATTTAAAACTCAAGAAAGTTGTAATGGCTTTTAATTTGAGATGGAGGAAGTAATTGTTACAATCGCTTGTGTCTAAAGAGTGGATCCAAAACGGAACTTGTTTTTCAAGTCTTAGATACCAAATATAAGCTATATATCTTGATGATGGTACAATTTTATTCTACTCTTTTTTACTCTGCCATGTTAGCAAAATATTATCTGACACTCATTTAACGTTGATAAGAGATTGCACAGGGATTAGCCTAACAAAAAGAAGACCAGCACAGTCATTGAACAGAATGTCGGGGAAATATAATATTCAGTGGCACAGGAGTATCTTGTTAAATTTTATATTATATCAAAATATATTTCAATAAAATCTAGAATTTATTATATTTTTTCCATTGTAAATCATTTAAAAGACACGTATAATCGAAGTCTGGTCAGATATGATGTCCCAAAAGTTTTGTATTTAATATGAACACAGATATTTTTCAGAAAAATAAATTTTATGATGGATATTTTACACACAAGATTAATCATGGTACCTTTTCCATCGGCAGCTTTGAGTCAATTTCCAAATTTCCCATCTCATCCAATTGACTCACGATATCCTTTATTGTAGGCCTCTTATATCGGTCAGTCTCCATGCAGTTTCTTGCAATCTCGATACATCTTTTCACTTGTTTGCAATCTGCTTCAAGTGATTCATACCTGGGTATCTCCTGTAGACACCTTTTCCAGTTCTCGTGAACCTTGGAAGTCAAACGTAGAGTATAAAAGCAGTGCAACAAGGCAGTTAACATGAATGAAATTTGCTAGAGAGACAACATATGAAGTTGCAGTCTTATTCCTGTGTTTTGCTCAATTGACCATGAAGAAACCTTAATTGGAACATTAGTTTCTGCATTGCCCTTTTGCGGTTGGTTCTTGGAGCCTTGTTCACTTACCTATTGCTGACCCTCTTAATCAGCCTATTGAAGTACTTGCTGAATTCAAATGGCAAGTACAAGTTCCCTTTTTTCATGGAGATAATTATTTTACTTTGCTGGAGAATCTAGTCAGTTCGAAATGACTCTATTTTGAGGAATTTAACATACTTTGTAGAGAGAGCCAAAAGCATCTTCAAGGAAGAGTTTGCCATGGTTATCCATAGGCCAAAGAAGAAATACTTTCCCTTGATATTGTTATGGCGAGAAGCTTTGTTGTAATCTTTTTTTTTTTCGTTAAACTTTGTTGTTCGCCTGTTTTAAACTCTTCTAAGAAATTCAGTAGGGCACAGTCCTCCTGTTTGCCCAAAAAAACATAGTTTGCCCTATTGCCAATATAGGTTTTGTTTAATTTCAAACACGTGAATTAACTATAAGTAAATCATAGGAAACTGACACAACTATGTGATCCAAATACAGGAGCCCCTTGCACTACTACTGAAGTCGAGTGTTTTGATCAACTGTAACTATATCATTCCAAATAGTAATGTATTTTAGTTTTGTCCTAAATTAAACTTATCTAATTTTTTAAAAGCTCAGAATATATATATATATATATATATATATATATATATATATCATGATATTAAATTAATGTAATTAATTCACTATGTAATGTATCTTGATACAACATTTATTTGGTGGTATAGATGTTAATATATTATATTAAATGCTTTGTTATGACTAGAGAAGTTTGAGTAGGATAAATGGAAAGAAACTATATATTTTAGAATATATTTTGAATCATAGAGGGTAAATACCATTTCCATTGCCCGAAGGTGGAGAAAAGCAATAGGGCTGATGCACAACACTTTACTCGTAAAAGTATACAGTGATGACAAATCTTTTGTTATTTTGTCACATGGTTTGATGCAAACTTGGTAAACTGAGATGTGGATAATGAATCTCATAGTACGTGATAGTAACAAAATGTTAGGATGATAGTAACTTGTATTCTTACATGTTCAACAAATTCTTGGGCAGCCATGTCGGCAACAATGGAGTAGCCTGTACTTGCAGCGATTATCTTTGTAATTATTACACCAAAACTATATATGTCATACTCCTTTGAGATTACTTGATGGTTAATGAATTCTGGTGGGATGTATCCACTGCAGCAGAACATAAATGACATAGGTAAGATGAGATTGAAAAGTAAATACAATCCAACTGATTAAGAACTCTGTTTGCGTGAGCATTAGTCTTACATTGTCCCTAGACGACTCAACGTGTTTATGGTATTCCCTTCACCGATGAGCCTAGACAAACCAAAATCTGATATTTTTGGCATCATCTTCTCATCTAACAATATATTATCTGGTTTTAGATCCAGATGGAAAACGGGAAACTCCAACCCCTCTTGAAGGTATTTCAAACCCTCGCAAATTCCCTTAATTATTTTGTAGCGTATAGGCCAATTATTGCCAAGATTGTCACCTGCAATAGCAAACATGTTATTCTCAATATATATAACTCCAACAACATTTTTTTATTCACATGCTGGAAAAAATATTCATTCAATACCGTAAGCACCAACCAGAAAGGAGGTTCGCAAGGCTTCCTTTGGGCATATACTCAAGGCAGAGTGCCCTGTGTATCCTTTGACAAACTGTTAGTTTACCATTGTACTCTATACATACTTCCTGAGCTTCATCGCAGAAGCCTAATAGTGGGACAATATTAGGGTGCTTGAGCTGCTTAAGGATTTCAAATTCCTTTTGGAACTGCTGGTCATAAAAACCTGGCATGAAACGGAGCATCTTCACTGCAATCTGTTCTCCATCTTCCAGCACTCCCTATTCATCATTAGCATTTGTAGTTACTCATACTAAGCTTGTATTGTTTTATGCTCAAAGTGATTGAATTTGAAACAAACAAAACAACTATAAGCAAGGGTGTCGCAGGAATTTTGGGGGGCCTATGCAAAACTCTAAACAAGGGCCTAATAAACACTAGTTGCAACTAAATGCACGTACAAAGAAACATGAATTAATTCAACAAAAATAGGGCTCTGATTTGGAATTTACTTATTAACGTTTCATGGACAATAAACTGAATCAGATTAATCAACTAATTTTAATTTGACCTTAGGCCTGCTAAGCAAGTGCTAGCACTAGGCAATTTGCTTATTAGATGAACATTCCCATGATTTGTTGTAGATTGTTCTATGTTTAGCCGCTCAATTTCAAAGTTCTTTCAGATAAGCTTAAATCACTTTGACTAGTAGCAATTTGTTATAACCTGGTCTATTGTCCATATTCTTGCGCCAATTATGTCCAGGGATTCAGAGTGTGTCAATTTCATGCTATTCTCTGATGCCACACTAGGTAAATATCGAAACCTAAATCTATCCCTGTGATACTCGGTGGTATCAATTTGAGAAAATCCCCTATTTGACATTAAAACCGCTAAAATACTAAGAGGCTCCCAGCATCTGACCCAAGTTATAACGTGACGAGGACGGATGCCGTGCACGCCATTGACGCTGAAGAGGGAGTTGCCATGACCTCCCCGTTCAAGCCTATGTGGAAGGTAGAAGGGCCCTGATCTCCGCGCGTGCACCGTTGGACCGGTCCTGAGGCACGCGGAAGAAAGCCGAACCATTAAGATGCTTACCGAGTTGATCGGCGATGTAGTCGAGTTTGCCGAAGGAGATCTTTTCGCCCGGCTACCTCTTTGCGTTGTCGCCGAAGTTGAAGACGATACCCATCTGAAACACGATGGATCTGTACGCAAAAGGCTCTTACATGGCGCGCCTTGGAAAAATTAGTTCTGGCAATACCTAGCAGCTACTCGCGTAAGACGAATTAGATGGTAGCACACAAGACACATGATTTATACTGGTTCGACGCGTGGGGGTGCTATCGTCCGGTTTGAAGGTGGATCTCTGCATTCGTATGCTTGGTTCTGTAAGTGTCACTCCTAGCTACAGCTAGAATGCAGAAGATGGGAATGAGATGGAGTGGATCCCGATCAGGGCCCCTACTCCCCTTATATAGTCGAAAGGGGTAGGGTTACAGTAGATGCGATCAGCTAACAGATTGGAATCCTAATCTATTACATAGAATGCGCAACAGATTGATTCTATCCTATCACTGTGGATTCGCCTGGCTTTCGTGAGCCTCAACCCTCGTCGTCTTTGGTCCGGTAGATAGGCATGGATCAGGTATATGGACGGTGAAGGTACCCCGGGCCCATATATCCGACACATACATAAGTAGTTTGCTTGCTGGGATTAAAGCACAGCCAGCGAAAGGAAGATGGATTCCAACATGATTTGAGGTCCTTGAGCCCTCAAAAATTCTCTAGTGTCAATGCCCATTGAAGAAGACGACATTGGCTACTCAGGATGTTGAAGGATTGCATTATTAACCGCATTTTCTGCCAACACATTCTCACCCATGACATCCCCTTCTTGCTCTGGCCAATTAGGCCAACCATTAGGATTGAATTCAACCATAGGAGGTGGGTTCTGGTTTGCCTCCCAACCATGATGACAATTCAGCTTATTACTAATCTCATTTAGATCCCCCACATCCTCAAAAAAAAACTATATCTACTACATTAGTAATTTTCTTCATCAGGACTATGTCAACAATAAATTTGAGTACATCGCGACACTTCATGGTCATCTTCATCAGCATAACATTGCCACTTAGTCGACAATATCGACAGGACTTATCCTCTGACAGATATGACTGCAAGACGTTTCACTGACAATGGAATCAACCACTTCATGAAAGATGACATCAACTATGACTGCATCATTGATGACAGTAGTGACCACTTCATCAACAACGGCATTGACCACATCACCGACAACGACATCTATTGTGTCAACACAACATTCTCTGACATATGCAAAATGTAATTACATCCTATGACATATGCAAGACTACACCATATGGCATCCTCAGACATCTGTAAGATGCCTCTTCTATGATGACAAATCGACTAGTAACAACATGTCTAGCCAAATCGACTACCAATAGAAGAAGTGTAGCAAGGTGGTTGCATGCAAAGCCATCTGGGCACGCAGCGTGCATAAGCGGATAGGACGCATGAGCTGTGTGGTGAGATAGGATGCGACAAAATATAAATACTAAGCGAAAATAGCCTAGCCCATATTTCTAGAAGGTATATCTACTACTTTCTTCATTATCTTTTATAAGGTGTACACACATATCAAGATTTAAACACTAATTTTTTTTACCAATAAGTTGGCTAACAATTTTATATAAACTTGATACATTTAGATTCGTAATTAAATGTATTATCCAATTATCATAACTTTATAGTATAACAATATAATATATAATAAATAAATGATTAAAATGTAATTTAGGAGATCATGTTCTTCAAACTGCGCCTTATCTATATACTATATATATACTAATATTAAAGAGTGAAAATTTCTACCTACAAATTTTGGTCCATCACACTATTTTCCGATTCGGTGTGTCCCTCCACTTTGTGGAGCATAAGAATCCACACCAGTTTTAGTAATAGTATTAGGACGCGCGATGGATTAGAGATTAGATCCTAATTGATTTGTTGTCCGAAAGTTATAATAGTATTGGGACACGATGGATTAGAGATTAGATCCTTATTGATTTGTTGTCCGAGTTAGAATAGTGCACGTCGTGTGATACTGATCAAGTCGATTTCAAAACGATATTAGAATAGATAACGCATGAAGTAAATTCCATTACAACGTACGACCATATTTGTTAATAAAGGAGAATGAAGGGAGTAGTTCTAAAAAAAAAGCTTATGGAGCTTGTGGTAGTATTTCTAAAAACAGTTTACTTTATTAGGGGATACTAGGTGATATTATTAATCAGTAACAATTCCACAAGACTGCAAACTTTTTCATCATAAAACAATTTCTAATTTTGTGTCATATTTCATTTGATAACAACAATAAAATAAGATACATATCTCCAACATGAAACGGATTTACATACCTTGAAAACTTGTCCAAACGCACCCCGGCCAATCTCCTCAGAGAAATTATTTGTAATATGTTTTATCAATTCGAATGGGAGCTTCCTTGGTTCCTCACTTAATGGACCGAGCTTGTTCTCCATGTTATGTGCATTTACTCCAGTCTATATATGAATTAACAGCCAGAATAACTTGTAAGCAGAACCCGGTAGGCCGTCTTATTTTCTGTGCTACGTGCATTACTGCTCCTGCTTTTGCAACAGATCGCTAGACTTGATTAGTACTAATGAAATGACTTTGCGTCGACATTCATGCGACACGCATCCGACTGGGCACAGGCACATCTGCGCAGAGAACCTACCTGACTTGGTTAATTGGTGCATCCTGCATCCACGCCTACGTGGAACCTGTACATCTTGCGCAGTGATCGATGGGACGGTAGTGGAGTCGGACATGGATGGGTTTTGTATGGACTGCACCCGAAACTATGGTGGCAATCGCAGATCTGCAATGGAAATAGCAAAGCCATCGGAGACTGAGAGCATTACAAAGCGGCCAAACACCAATAAGATAAAAGCAGCTGTAGAATATCATATCAGGTGAAATAAAGGCCTTCATCATATATAATATGGGGAAAAAGGCTGAGAACCTTGGTCCTTTGGTGGCGGAATAATCGAGTTGAGATCTGAAACTTTTGCATTGTATGAACTCATTGTTATAGAACTAGAGCATTTGGGTCTAAAATAAACTATGGAGAAGTCGTAGTAGTAGTTACTTACTCCTAGACGGCAACTTTCTGGGTTACTCGAGCTTTTTTTTTTTTCGACCAATACAGGTTACTCGAGCTTACTAATCCATCATCTTTGACTTTTCCTTCTACGAGATCATAATCATGGATTGATTCTTTCGAGTTGTCGCGGACAGACTATGCCTTACAGCAAACAATAACTGCCAATTGTCAAGCAAATATCGAGCAGCTTGGATACCGCGATTCACATACAAAAAGGCACATGAATTCAGATGAGAGTACGGCTCCAGGCATACTACTACGAAAACAAAACAGAGTCGGCTATATAGTTTAAAAAAAAAGCAAAACAGAGTCCAATCATTAGAAGATGATCTAAATTCATTCCCATCATGTTACCTATCCTGTGGAAACCAGATAGACGCACGCACCTCTCGATCACAGTAAAGATGGACGACTGGATCTCGCACCGTCTCAGCGGCGGCGGCGCAGAGGGGGCGGGGCGGAGACTTTCGCTCTGAAGCCCGAGGCGATGAAGGGGGTGGGGGGAGACTTTCGCTCTCTCGATCACAGTAAAGATGGACGACTGGATCTCGCACCTTCTCAGCGGCGGCGGCGCAGAGGGGGCGGGGGGAGACTTTCGCTCTGAAGACCGAGGCGATGAAGACCTCGCTAGCTAGAGCAGGGAGATCGGCCTAAAGCTGATAGCAACATGTTTGGTTGGGCTTTTGGCTCTGCCTTTTAACCTCAAAAGCCAAAAACTTAATCAAAGGGACTGTTTTTGGAGTGTGCTTTTTCAAAAGCAGGTGTTTTTTCGTAGTTCATTTTTGAAAGCTAGGTTGACCACCTTTTTTGGCTTTTACTTTCTAACTTTGAAATTGATGAAATAAAAGCTCTTCCATAGTTGTTTCAAGAGATAAAGATAAAAGGTATATTTTATACTTGTTTAACCAAACAACTTTCATTTTCTACAACTCACATTACCACAAAGCAGCTTTTCCACACTCAACTTTACAAAGACTTTTTTTCCACACACGACTCAACCAACCAAACAGGGCTTTGTCTCCAAAGATGCAACCCAAACACAAAATAGGTCGTCTACGATGTTTTGGATAGCGAAAAGATGCTCCAATGGACACAACACGCATTTTGCGTTCAAGCCGATCCGATACACAAATAAACGTCTCGAGAGGGAGACGACACAAATGTCTGGACCACCGGCTCATCATGGCACACCCACCCCACACTGCACCCCCTCTCCTCTGCCTCCGTTCCTCCCTCGCATCTCTCTCCCTCTCTGCCTTCCCTCCATTTCTCTCCCTTCCCTCTCCTTCGTTTTTCTCCCAGTAAGGCTGGCTTCCTCCCGTCCGCCTCATCCCATGGTCGCCGCCTCTGTCCCCACCACCACCGCCGCCGTGGCCGTGTCACGACCTCCCATCTACGGATCGGGAGGTCCTCCGCCAATCTTGGGCTTCCCGCCATGCCTGCTGCTTTCCTCCGCCGGATCCGGATCCCCGCTCCCTCCTCCCCAGTGAATCTCTTGCCGCCATCCTGTCCATCATTGCCGTGGAGGCTCTCCAGACTGCCTGTTCAACGTCGGCCAAGACCCCATTCTTCGCTTCCCCGTCCCTTGCATGATCATGTGCCGGCGCATCTCAAGCGCCCAGGTCGCGTCCTCGTGGCCTCCCACGCCTTCCATCCTCCCCGACCACAGGTATGACGCCCTCATGCGGCGGCATTGTTTGTTCGCGCGAAGGGCCAGCAACCCTCACGGGATCTCGCGGGAGCTTGCAGCTGGTGGCCGGCCACTTGGGAAGACGAAGCGAGGAGCAAGCGGGGCACCGGACGGAGGAAGCGGTAGTCTTTTTGGGTTCGTTGTTGGAGAAGAAGGTTTTGTGTGTGCTCGACTCTTTTCCTGTCAGACGTGACTCAAATACCTAATAGGTCTCGTGTTTGCGTTCCTATCGTTGGAGACGGTCTAAGGGCCCGTTCAGTTAGAGGTGAATGTGGCGAAATCATTCCGAGTAATAAAAGCTTGTATAAATTAACTATCAATCCCGGTAGGAATTTTTCCTGATAGCCATTCCCTGTGAAACAAGCAGGGCATAATTCTCTTCTCTTTTATTTTCTCCGGGTCACGTATTTCTTATGCACCCTCACAAAGATTCCGAATTTTGCTTTGGTATATGCACAATTAAAGATGGCAACGGGTACGTACCCGATGGTCTTTTAACCCGTACCGCTCCGCCAGATCAAAATTTTACCCGTCGGGTTACCCGTACCCGCAGGCGGGTAGAAAATTCATTCCATACCCGCACCCGACGGGTAATTCTTACCCGACGGGTAATCCGCACCCAACAATATACCTACCCGACGGGTAACCCGCACCCAACAATATACCCGAGTTCACACACCAAAATATAATAGCTTCCAGCAAAACAAATCAACAATAGAGCAGCAAAACAGAAATATATCCAGGTCAAGCTAGTTGAAATAGATCATATGCCTCATTGGTTCATTCCAAATATGCTTATATGGGGATTAGGGTTTGAGGGAGTTCTGGAATATATATACTCATATGCTTATATGGGCCAAATATGAGCTATATGCTTATATGGGCTAAAATTGTAGAGGTTGGATATTATTTATGTGGGTTTTTTTATCCGTGGGTATGCGGGTATGGGTAGTATACACCCACACCCGTACCCGCATACCCGATGGGTATAAGAATTCGTCCAATAATGTACCCGTAGGTGCAAAATGTCTTCCATACCCGTCTCCTTATCGGGTAAAACCCGTTGGGTACTCAGGTTTCGGGTACCCGTTGCCATTTTGATGCACAATATTTACACCCCAAGCAGTTGGCCACAGACGATATAACACCAGTGGCAATGGACAAAATTACTTTAGGTTGTTGTCGGAAGATTCCTCTTGTTATGTTTGCGCAATTTGCACTTGGGACCAATGATGATAAAACTATTGTAATGCTAAGGAATCAATAACATCTAGGATGTGTGTCTAAGCAGCCGCCGCCACCATGCTGCAATCGTTTAGCAGTGTTATTATAAACGCTAAATAGTAAACAGTCGGCCACGCTTTTTAATGTTAGACGGCTTTTAAACGGAGTTAAAGGCCAAAACATATTTAAATAATAACATTAAAATATTTAAAAATATATATACATAATAGTCAAATATGCTAGAAAACATATATATTTATGCATGTAAAAAGTAAGTATTCTACCAAATAGATTTTTTTAAAGAAAAATTATACCCCACTCAACCTCATATACTAGTTGGGTGCCAAATGTAGTAGCTGTAGTCCTTCTATTGACTAAATGGTGAATTAAATGACCATTTAGCTCATTTAATCATGTTTAATTTGATTCTATTTAGACCATTTAGAAGGGTTTTAATGGCTTAAACGGGTTTAAACATTCCAACCATTTAGGGCCGGGTGGCCTTCATTAACCATTTAAATGTTGATTAAAAAAACTAAACAACCGTTTAGGCAAACGATGTCATTGAGGGCCCTCTCCTTCTCTTCGGTGAGTTCACGGTGACAAGAAGAGGACACATCTCTCATTTACCTTAGTTCTTTAGATCTAGTTTTCTTAGGTTTATCTAGTTTTCTTAGGTTTAATTCAAATCGATGACTTGGTGACTAGCATTACGAGGTCATCATTGCAAGGCATGAGGAAATTTATGGTCATTATTTCCTAAGGAAGGGCCCCGATGGGTGGGCACTCCCCACAAGGACAATACTTCTAGATAATTGATCTCATCGCCCGATGGTCATAGGCAAAATCGGTCATTCAATAAGATGAATTAAGGTTGGAGGTGATAAATCACACCTCATCGAGTCACTTCTTACGCCCAAATCCGATCGAAGACCGATGCTGCGCCTTCTTTGGAACACATGATCGGACGCTTGCCACGTCTGTCGAGGCCAATGGGGTCACTCATAGTGACACCTTCTCGCCTCCATTTCTTTACCGAGTTGATCATCATCAACTCCAACTTCTCTCCTTTGTAAATGTGCCAACATCACCAAGTGTACACCACCATGTGTATGTGTGTTAGCATTTTCACAATCATTTTAAAGGATTAGCCACTCAACTTGCCACGCCACTCGATCCTAGCAACGATGCAAAGTTAGATCACTTCGAGTGGCACTAGATGACCCCGACATGCAAACAAGTTTGCCCCTCTTGATAATACGGCCATCTATCCTAAACCCGATCATCAACTTCTCTACACACCTATGACCGGTGAAATGAAATACCCTAGGTTATACCTTTGCCTTGCACATTCCATTCCATCTTTTCCAATGTCGATGCAACACATGCACCAACACGATCAACAATGATATGATCCACTTCATATCATCACGTGATCATATTGGTTCATCGATCTTGACTTCACTTGCTTTTCACTATTGCCTTTGTCCATCCGGCGCCAAGTCTTGCTCAAGCTTCACCGCCACGAGGTCCATCGCTCCAAAGCCTCTAACTTGCCCTTCACGCTTGCAACCGGTCCATCAAGCCAAGTCTTATCTTGATCTTCTCCACCTTGATCACATGACTCAATGTCATGTCTCATATGCAATGAGCTCCTTCATCATCACATGTGTGAGCTTAGCAACATCTCCGAGCCATTTCCACCTCCATGGCATATGTTGCTCACACACATGTACCTATGGACTAATTACCTATGTATCTCACATAAACACAATTAGTCCACCTAGGGTTGTCACTCAATTGCCAAAACCAAACAAGGACCTTTCAATCTCTCCTTTTAGTAATTGATGACAACTCTACAAAGATATGGAAATTAAGCTCTTTTGGATTCATGTTGCTTGCCCAAGCAATTTTGGGTTTGTGGTACTTATCCAAAATCATTTACACATGGTAGAGTGTTTGGTTTGAAGCTTCATACATATACATAGATTGGAATAGTGGGAGAGTAATTACTACCAAATGATGCTAAGGTGTATAGAATGAACCTTTTAAAATGTGATATCAATCGAGTTGCACTTTTAACACCATCCTTAGCACCATGAGTAGCTAGACAACAAAAATACTAGAAACCCATGAGATCAACATTATAAGCAAGGTTCTAGCATTACTTGAAAAGCATACCAAGTGTCTAGCTATCATCCTATGCATGCTAGTTATCAAATCATCATTCAAGTTCTATAACTAGCATACACCACACAAGCATGCATATTGAATTTAAAAGCTTATGCAATGCAAGCAAGCACATGCCTATGCACATATCAAATGCATCCAATCAAAGTTCATGAGCTTGCCCCCTACTTGTGTGCTTCTCTTGTCCAAGAATTTTGATCCATCTCTTTTCTTTAATGTTGCTCCCTCTTTGTTCATGTCCATTTCCAACCTCTACTTCTTTGTCTCAATCTCTCCCAAAGCTTTCATATCTTTGCACAATCTCTCCCCCTTTGTCATCAATTTTGATAAAAGGCGTGCTTCTCATTAATGCAAAGGTTTGCATTTGGGGTAGATGGTTGAGGCTTGAATCTTGCATTTTTATGGACATTACTTGATTGTTGGAATGACACCACTTGTAGCCCTTGAGATGCCACACATAGAATCTTGACCTTGATACCAATTTATGGGACACCTCCCCCTATGTCATAACATGGGTCATTCATTTGATAAACTTGAGCTCTTGTAGGTGAGGGATGCATTCTTTATTTGATGATCACTTAAAGTTGAGGATCACTTGTGGAACCATTGTCCTGCGTGATTGATACCACGTGTAGATGTGATACCACTTGAAAGAATTTTCTAGAATAGAACCTATTGGGTTCATGAACACGGGATCCCTCATGGTCCAGCTTCCCCTCAAAGGTTTGGCCTAAGCAGACAGCGCGTAACTCATGGGCCGGCCCGAATACCAGAGCGACAGTCCGGAGGAGTGATCCAATCTCCGACCGGAAGGCCAGGCCAAGGAGGAACATCACCCATTTTCCAACTCCGGCCCACCTCTCCGACCGGAGCGCTCGCTTCGGTCTCCAGCCCGCCTTCGAACGGCCTCTCTGACCGAGAGGCCTGGACAAAAGCACCGCTTTCGACTCAATTTCAGCGCTCTCGGCCGGGGATACACCGAGCCCCTGCTCACTGCTCTTCTCCGACTGGCGCGACCAGAGCCGACTGGGACCAACCGACCGGGGACGCCCATTCGGAAAGGATCAGGGAACGAACGGAGAAAGCAAGGCCAGGCGTACAAGTCAAACCACGATACCAGGGATCGTACCTGCCACAACCTTGCTAAAGCAAGCAATTACTCTGTGGCCTCCCTCGACACAAAAAGTGTTGTAGTGGCCGACTTTTCCCCTACAATATTATGGGCGCCATTAACTCCCCATATGGTAAGGCACCCCCCACATGCCTCTGGGCATCGACAGTGTTGTGGGCGCCGGGATTTACCATACCGAGTGAACATGGTGAAACCCCTCAC